GGAAGGGAAGGAGTATTGTCCAGTAGTTGTTTTTTAAATGTAGTTTATTAAACTAAGTTTCTTTAAAAGCAGTTTTGATTTTTAAAGTGAAATTAAGGCACTTGAATTATACATATATACATATATATATCCTCCATTCAATTTTTGTGGCTGGTTTTCATAATTAATGTACTTTATACTTGGTTGTCATCAGATGGTTTCCTGAACTGAGGTCCCTTGAAGTGATCAAACTTGCAGAAACTTAAGAGCCTTGTTCTGTCTGTGAAAAATTAAGCGGTTTTTTGATGACAAGGTTATATGTTTTAGAAAATCTTTAGAACATTGTACACCTTTCCAGCTCTGGGAGGGTGTAGTAGTTTGAACCAAGTTTTCCCCCTGAAGCTAAGAAAGTGGTAACCCCCAAGGGGTGGTGACACTAGAGATTTGAACCAATCTGCGCTCCTGCGAAATGTAAACATACCACAAGCAAACAGAAGAGAAGAGTTGTAGTTTGGGGTGATAAAAGTGGTAGCCGTGTTCTGAGGCCACAAGGAGCAGAGGGCAGAAGGCCCTGAGGGGGGGGCTTTGGCCCCCAGCCCCCAGCGGGAACTGCAGAGACTTGGAACAGTGTTAGACTGGGCTAAGTGTCTGTAGCTATGCTGGGAGATGTTTTCTCCACCGTGGGCAGCGGCAGAAGTAGCGACAGACCAACACTGACCGGAGAAATGGTGGCACAGGACCAGAAGAGGTAAGACCAAGCAGCAACAGAGGCATGCAGTACCGTAGAAAGGACTCCTGGAAGGAGAACCGAGAAAAAAGAGAGTCAGCAGCAGAGCTACAGAGTTTTGGGGGTAAGAACTGAACCAGACCCCCCAAACTCCCTTGAGACCTCCGGGAAAGGAGGGACGTGGACTCCTATTAAGGAGAGGAGTTTTGGAATGCTGCAGCACCAGAGAGAGAGGAGCTAAGAAGCTCAAAGACGTCCTGGAGCCGGACCAGGACGGCCAGATGGAATGCAGAGGGGGATGACCTTGCTTCCCCCCCCTCTGCTGCCACATTGGCAGTTGAGACAGAGCACAGGAGCTCTGGTGGAACTCTTGAGACAAAGACTTGCAACTGAAAGCTGCCCAAGATGTTCTGACTCAGGGGTGAATCCCCTGAGGAAGGGACTTTCACGAAGATGCCCCTGCATTTCGTGATATACCTGTGGTGACGCGAGTTCTGTCCCTGCTGGCAGTCCACAGGTGAGGCCTTCGCTTGGACCGAAGGAGAGCCGAGGGGCTTGGAGACCCCCTTGTGTGTATTGAACAGAGATCCAGCTACAACAACCCAGTTGCAACTGCTGCATGGAAGACAGAAGAGGAGCTGCTGCCCTAAATGTGGAAGGGATCTGTCCTTCTTCCCTCCTGGACTTTTATTTGGAGAGGAGAAGAGATCTGATCCATTGTAAATACTTATGTCATGGTAGAGATAGTTGTGATCGCATGTATAATGTGTTATAATATTTAGTTGTACAGTCATTGTAATATATTCCCTTTCCCCCATTTGGAGTCTGGTGTGTTTTGTCTGGAAAAAACCCACCTCACATTGGATTGAGATGTGACAGGGGGCTAGGACTAGGGAATTAGATTTTGGGGCTATCTCAAACCATGACAGAGGGGATGGTCACTTCTTACTCTGATGGATGTCGGGGGAGCAGATTGCTTAAGTGAGATCTGCTGGGAGCTCCTCTGCTCTGTGGGTGTCTTTCTGCAAATGCTGGAAGTGTTACATAGTAACTATGAAATATATCTTCTATATATTTATTAATGTATATGTATATTTAATAATGGTTTTAAACTGATAAAGTTTAGACGTTCTTGACTGTGAGAGTGATGAGACACTAGCACAGGTTGTGACCCCAGGTTGTCCCATTCCTGGAAGTGTTCAAGGCCAGGTTGGACTTCAGCAAAGCCTTTGACACCGTCTCCCACAGCATATTCCTTAAAAAAACTGGCAGCCCACGGCTTGGACAGGGCACTGTGCTGGGTTAGGAACTGGCTGGAGGGCCGGGCCCAGAGGGTGGTGGTGAATGGTGCTGCATCCAGCTGGTGGTGTCCCCCAGGGATTGATCTTCGTTCTGACATTTGGTATCTCTGCAAACAAATCCATTCCCCTGTGCTTGAGTTGTAATTATCTTTCATTACATAATCACAACTGCTTTTCCCAAAGAACTCCAGCCAGTTATTGCTCGGAGTGAATGCTGGTCAATTAAGCACCTAGCAGTTATTGTTTTGCTTAATCCTTATTGTTCTTTATAAAGCACATTAAGGTGTGAAAGTATTTAAACTAAGGGTTGAATAACATGCAGTAAAGACTGATGAATGCTGGATGAGTGTTTCTACAGGTCTTGTCCTTTGTTTTCCCCCAGGAAAACAAAGTAAAAAATAATATATTATCCATGTAAGATGTTTTTTATGGAAATCTGGAAGATTTTCTTGTATTCTTTTGGCTAAATTTTCCTTTGCTCCTTCCCTGGTGACAGACAGAAAGACTGATCTCTGGTGGCAAAGCATCTGGCTTGTTTACAATAGTCCTGCAGTTTTCTGTTCACACAAAGTGTGTTTCAACATGTGCAGTCCTGTCTTGCTTTGAACCTCATCATGTCTTTATCAATCCAGCTGCTAAATGATGCACTCTTGGCCAGACAGTTGCAACAGTAACTCAGTGTTGGGATCAGGAATTCAAAATGCTCTTTGTGTGAAAGCATATATGCATTCAGCATGGAGAGTGGGTAGTGATCAACTGGGCAGCAAGGACATACCATACACACTAATTCTGTTCCACTAAAACATCATCTCTTTCAGTGCACAGGTAAAAATATACCTTCAAACCCTCCTCCTTCTGCCTCCCAGAAGGTCTGATGGGACCACCTCCTCACTGACGTTCAAACTCAGCTCAAGCACCACCGAGTTTAGCCCTAAACCAAATGTGCTGTTGGTAAACATAATGAATTAGAGACTGAAATGAGAATATAGAATTCATTAATTTCACCACAAAACTTCTGGTTTACCACATTTGCAGGTTCTGAAATAGATGCAATGGTCCTATAAAACATAGCTTACACCTTTCCCAGGCCTAGCTTTGGGTCCCTGAAATAATGCACTTGGACCTAGAAAAGGATTGTTTAAAAGAGAATTCGATAGGAAAGTGTGGCTTTCTCCTTTGACAATCCTCAATTTTCCATCAAGTTCTGCAGGTATCACAAGACTTCCTTCAGCACTCCTCCCTGAGGTGGTCTCTGCAAGCTCAAGGTAAGAAAAATCACAATTCTTCCTCAGTCTAAGAATTTTTTGGCAACTAGAGCTGTTTCACTGTTGTTCGTTAATTTTTTTTGGTGTTTTTTTCTTACCAGAAGGGAGACTGTCCTTTTTCTATTATTTTTTGGCTATAAATACATGGTTCATGAAATTTATGGTAATATCTTTATATCTTTTATGAAAAAAGCCCAAATCTAAATGGCATAGAATTGGTAATTACAGAAAGCTCTACCTTACAATAGTTACAGCATTCTGCTAGTCACCCATTTATGCAAAGCACATAAATGGCCCACAAAAAGGATGTTTCTGTGCATTTAACTTGAAAAGATGTTATTCAATAAAAATGTCCTTAATTTACTGGCATTATGTCATATAACTCCTTTCATTTTGCTTTACTCCTCATTTAAAAAAGAAGAGATGAATTCAGAGAAATCTGCTGTTCACATAAAGATGGATTCCTGCCAAAATTTGTTGTTTGGTTCACAACCTTGAGATAATTGAGCTCTTTATTTTGCTAGTTATGCCTTCTTCGAGATATTTTATTGAAATTTCAAAACAAGCAAAGAAACAGGAAATCCATTTCAGATGTATTCCTGTAGGGAAAGTGAGACTAATTTCCATTTCGAAGTAAAAATCGCAATTGTGTTCAAAGTTAAGGCTCATGCACGAGAAAAGACAATGAAAACTTATGAAAAGATGATGCCTGTGATTGCACCTTTCATTAAAGCTTCAGATGAAAGTTGGGCTGAACATACATGGGAAGAGGACTATGAAGACTCTTCATTAATGGTACAAAATTTAGAGGCCTGGCTGAGGACATAGTGCACTAGGGTGACTCTACAGTAAAAGAAAAGAGCAGATGGAGTGCCAAGAGTGGCCCACACACTGCACAGGAGAGACAGAGGGTAAGGGCTTTGTTTCCTAAGTGGAAAGGCAGTTCTTCCCTTAAAGCAATGCATAGGAGTTGGCACTCCATGGACATAGAGAGATTCTTGTGCTGTCACCTTTTCTCTGGCAGGAATCTTCGTTGATATGCCATTTTGGCAATCAGACTGCCAAGAGTGACCCACACAGCGCACAGGAGAGACGGAGGATAAGGGTTTTCTTTCCTGGTTGGAAAAGCAATCGTTCGCATGCAGGAGCCCTGAGCTGGAATTGGCAGCATGATTCCCAGAATTGCATATGGATGAAGATTCCTCCCAGACAAAGGGTGCCAGCACAGAAAGCTCTCTGTGTCCATGGAGTGCCAAGAGTGGTCCACACACTCCACAGGAGAAACAGAGGGTAAGGGCTTTTTTTCCAGGGTGTAATTGCAGTCCTTCACTTGCAGGAGCAGTGTACTGGAATTGGCAGTCTGACTACCAAAATTGCATATGGGTGAAGATTGCTCCCAGACAGGTGACAGCAGAAGAATGTCTCTGTGTCAATGGAGTGCCAAGAGTGGCCCACACACTGCACAGGAGAGACGGAGGGTAAGGGCTATGTTTCTTTGGTGGAAATGCAGTTGTTCTCTTGCAGGAGCAATGCACTTGAATTGGCAGTCTGATTCCCAAAATGGCATACGGACCACGATTCCTTCCAGACAAAAGGTGACAGCACAGAAAGATCTCTGTGTCCATGGACTGCCAAGAGGGGCCCACACACTGCACAGGAGAGACAGCACCCGGCCAAGGGGCAGAGCCCCAGCCAACCCTTCCCTCTGTGCCCTGCCGCTCTCTGCAGCTGGAAAAGGACAAGAGGAGAGCGGTTGAGTACCTGTGCCAGGCCCTGCCGTACCTGGAGAGCCCACAGGAGTCCGTGCGAGAGGCGGCCCTCAGGTTCACAGGTGAGCCACAAGGTCCCTCCCCGCCCCGCTGCAGCTCGGCCCCAGCCCCGGCTGCTGCAGCGGCAGCAGGATGCGGCCCGGGGATGTGCTGGGGAGCCCTGCCACCCTGTGCCAGCCCAGCCCTGGGGGGTCCCGAGGCGGGAAGGCCCCGGGCTCAGCCCTGCCAGGGCAGGAGGGTGCGT